CACTTATGGTCACTCTAACACCTTTGCCATTGGTCAGGATTGGATCCAGGCCAAGGGTATAAAAGTAGCACACTGTACCCCTACTAACTGGGAAGAAGAAGAGCTGAGACCCTTCACAGACCCCTGCAATAAAGCCACACTCGTGGAACAGCCAGAGTCTTCTGCTTCTCCTCTCTCTACCGTCTGCTGGAGCCTTAGGCCAAGGGAAAAGCTACCTAGCAAGCAAAGCTGAAATCACAAGAGCTGCTTGATCACTAAGAGCTGAATATTCCCTGCTTGCTAGGGGCTGACCCGCGGCCTTGGTCTGAGAGCGAGCTGGCTTCTGGCACCCAGTCCCCTTGGGGACTGAGCTCTGGAGCTGGAACAGCTTGCATAGGATAAGACCAAGCAAGGCTCATTTACCTCAGGGCCTGTTTGGTGACCGTGGCAGCTCAGGGTGTCTCTCCTGGTCCCACAGCATTGACTACATCCTGAACGTCACCCGCGAGATCGACAACTTCTTCCCAGGCCTGTTCGCGTACCACAACATCCGCGTGTACGACGAGGAGACCACGGACCTGCTGGCACACTGGAACGAGGCCTATCACTTCATCAACAAGGCCAAGTGAGTGCTGGGACACCTGGCCCTGGGGAGGGCACATCCCAGCTCTCTGTGTCCCATCCTGGGCCCTCACAAAGCCACAGGAACTGCAGGGCCTTGGCATCATCGTTCCAGTTCCTGCAGCTCCCTCGTGCCCTGTCCCTTCCTGGGCTGGCATTAACCTGTCCTAGCCCAGCGTTTTTGTCACTACTTTGTTTTGCTTCCGAAAGGAAATGAGGATATTTCCTCTTCTGGAGACGTTCTGGAGCTGCTCCAGCTGTGTCTGTGTTGGACCTGCCCCAGCTGTCTCTGCAGACAGAGCCTGTCAAACCCTGTTGAGCCTCTACACTGAGCCTTTTCCCAGTGATCCCAGTATCCAAAGACTTGGATGGAGGCAGGAGGCTTCATGGTGGTCTCTGAAATGAATGAGGCTGCCCACCTCTAACTCCCAGCTGTTCTGGAGAGGGATTTTTCTCCTGGCCCTCATCATCCCAGGCATTCTCCCCTCCAGAGCTGTGGCACAGAGTGGGCAGGGCACTGTCCTGTGACAGTGTTCACAGGGGTCTCAGGTTGAGGGAAGAGATGAGGATCTGACTCCATGTTTCAGAAGGCTGATTTATTATTTTATGATATATTACATTAAAACTATACTAAAAAGATAGAAGAAAATATTTCATCAGAAAGCTAGCTAAGAATAGAATAAGGAAAAATGATAACAAAAGCTTCTGTCTGGGACGGAGAGTCTGAGCCAGCTGACTGTGATTAACCATTAATTACAAACAACTAACATGAGCTAATCACAGATCTACCTGTTGCATTCCACAGCAGCAGATAACCATTGTTTACACTTTGTTCCTGAAGCCTCTCAGCTTCTTAAGAGGAAAACTCTCAAAGCAAAGATTTTCCATAAAAGATGTCTACAACACTGTCCCTCTTCTGATGAATCCCCAACAAATCCATAACCGGTGACATGGGATTTATTCTGCTGTTTGTCCTGCTGCAGGAAGAACCACTCCAAGTGCCTGGTGCACTGCAAGATGGGCGTGAGCCGCTCGGCCTCCACGGTCATCGCCTACGCCATGAAGGAGTTTGGCTGGTCCCTGGAGAAGGCCTACAACTACGTGAAGCAGAAGCGCAGCATCACGCGGCCCAACGCCGGCTTCATGCGGCAGCTGCTGGAGTACGAGGGCATTCTGGATGCCAGGTAAGGCTTGGGGCGAGGGGGAAGGGAAGGAGCTGGCTGTGGATAACATCACAAAGGCTCTGTTGGTGTCGTGGCCACAGATGTGTGAGGGGCTGAAGGGACCCTGCGCCAGTCGTGCTTTTCTTAAACCTTCCCTGTGCCAGGCTCCCTGCGTGGAAATTAGCTGGGAGAGCTGCTCTGGTGTAATTCAGGGAGGTTTTCTCCGTGCTTGGGAAGCACGTTTGGGTTTCTCAGCAGTCAGTGCTGCTCAGCACAGCATTGTTCTTGTTTTATGAGGCAGAACTGAGCTCAGGCCATTCTGGAGGCAAAGTGTTCGTGGTTCTGTGCCAAACCCAGGGCTCTGTCACTGCAAGGGCTGTAGTATTTCTCTTCTAAGGACAGAGGAGAGAATTCTGTCCCCTGGTTCAGCAGGAGCTGTGCCATGGGACGTGCAGAGCGGTCAGTTTGGGTGTTGTGCTCTGGGGGGGCTGCTGTGCCCTGAGGTCTGATCTCACCCCAGCTGAACTCAGGGAACTGCTCTGGAATGGGCAGGTGGGAGGAAAATATCCTAATGCTGAAGGTGGTTTGTGCAGGTGGGATCTCAGGTCTGGGCTGTGGAATGGGAGGAAGCTCCTGGCACTGGGCACCCTGCAGGGCAGTCACTCGTGTCCTTGTCCTCTCCCCAGCAAGCAGCGCCACAACAAGCTGTGGAAGCAGCAGGCAGAGAGCAACCTGCCCCAGAACACCGACGGCACCGCGGGCTCGGGAGACTTCTTACTGGAGAGCTTGGACATCGACCTGGAGAACCGCCTGGCTGACCTGGACATGCCTTCCCAGTCCGCATACCTGGACAACCGGGCCGGCTCCGAGGGCTTCGGGTACTGCTTCCGCCGCCTGTCGGACACGCTGCTGGAGAACAAAATTCCTGGGGACAGAGAGGGCTTCTTCCACATGGAGCAGCTGGAGAGGGATGCCCTGGTGGGACAGCCTCCGTCTGCACCTTCCCAGGGGAGGCTGCTGGAGATGGAAAAGGCCCCGGAGAGAGCGGAGCCGCTGGCAGAGCTGGGCGGCTTCTGTGAGAAAGAGGCAAAGAAGAAACTGGACTTCAGCCCCAGGAAGGGAAGGATGGTCCTTGGGGAGCCAGGGGAGGACGGTGTCAGGGAGGAAAACCCCATGGAAAAGTGGAAGCGGCGTTTGTCCATGCACAAGGAGGAGAGCAGGCTCAATAGGGAGAACTTGAATAACAACAACAGCAAAAGGAGTTGCCCAGAGGATTTTGAGGTGCGTATGGAGGTGAGATGGAGGTGATTGGCATGGCTGACTCTGCTGCAAGTGAAACTGCTCTTCTCATCCTCATAGCCCAGTTTCATTTGACTTGGATAAAGCCTTTCATTCCATGATGAGCTTCTCCCCTTTCGAGGCGCTTCTCACCAGGGCTTTGCTTGCCCGAGCTGTGGATGTAGATGCCAGAGAGTGCCCAGTGAGTGCCCTGTAAAGTGCTGTGGGCAGCTCGCTTGCATGACCCTCGCTTGGCACGGTAGGTATTCCTTGGAGACGCTGTCTGCTGGGAAAGCACGTGGCTTTAGTTCCTGCTGCAGGGCCTGAGGTGGAAATGGGCTTTGTTCCAGATCTCTTTGGCTGTCCCACACCTTGCAGGCTGTGCCGCTGTCTGTTCCGTGCTCGTTGATCTGTCCCTGTTTTCTCTCCTGCAGCACGATGCCGTGTTTGGGATCCTCAGCAAGGTGAAGCCTTCCTACCAGTCCTGCACTGACTGCATGTACTCCTCGGCAGGACTGGCCCCCGAGCCCTTTGGGGAGCAGTGCGAGAGGCTCAGCGCCGGCACCGCGCGGCGCAGCAGCACCATCTGCACCCAGCCCCCCCTGCTGCCCCACCTGCACTCCCACCTGATGGAGCACCTGCCCAGCAGGGCACCCCCCGAGGAGCCAGGCAGGACTAAACATAACGAGGCTCCGCTCCCTCTGGCACCAGGGGCTGTGGAGGTTGGCACGTGCAGGGCACTGGATCAGCACTGCGGCCTTTTGGAGAGAGGGAAAGATGCGCCAAAAACCCCCGAAAAAACTCTGCAGCCCAGGAGAAACTCCCACTGTGACAGGAGCCTCCTTCACGCAGAGGTGGTGAGGGAAGAGTCTCTGGCCAGAAAGGACCCCAGGCCTACCAAGGACGTGAAGTACCTGTTGTTCAGCAAAGACTTGGAAAAGCCGAGCGCCAACAGTTACTTGATGCAGCACCAGGAGTCGCTGCTGCAGCTGCAGAAAGCGGGGTTGGTCAGGAAGCACACCAAAGAGCTGGAGCGCCTCAAGAGCCTGCCCTCGGACCCCTCGGTGCTGCTCAGGGACAGCCCCCTGGGCAGGGTGGACTCCAGCATCGTGGAGGAAAGCGAGGACTTGATGGCCCATCCCGGCCTTGTGCCTCTCCTGGCCCCGGCCCAGCTCGTGGCCGGAGACGCCGAGAACGACGTGGAGAAGCTGGGGGTGAAGCGTGTCCTGGAGGGCATCTCCCAGAAAACCTCCACACCCGCTGGGTGCCGCCTGGAGCACACGAGCAGCTTCACCAAGGACTTCCTGAAGACCATCTGCTACACCCCCTCCTCCTCCCGCAGCTCCAACCTGACCCGCAGCTCCAGCAGCGACAGCATCCACAGCGTGCGGGGCAAGCCCGGCCTGGTGAAGCAGCGCACGCAGGAGATCGAGACCAGGCTGCGCCTGGCCGGCCTCACCGTGTCCTCTCCCCTGAAAAGATCCAATTCCCTGGCCAAGCTGGGCTGTCTGAACCTGTCCTCCGAGGACTTGTCGAGCGACGTGGACGTGGCCACCATCACGGACTCCAAGGAGGCCGTGTCCAGCGAGTGCTCCGTGCTCTGTGAGCCCCCGGCGAGGGGCGCGGACGTGGCCACCATCACGGACTCCAAGGAGGCCGTGTCCAGCGAGTGCTCCGCGCTCTGTGAGCCCCCGGCGAGGGGCGCGGACGGCGCCTCCAAAGCAGGGCTGAAGCCCCTGGCTGGGAACTTGAAGAACACGCTCTGGATGGGCAAAAGTTGATGCCTTGCTGGGGGGGGAGGGAGGGGGCTGGATTTTGGGGGTTTGCAGAATTTATTCATTACACCAATGCTGTTTTATCATCTGACTTGCAGCAGCTCATCTGGTGCCACCTCCTCGTCCCCTCTTTGTGCTCGGAGAGAGGAGGAAAGAACCACGATGGGTCACAATGAAGGGCACAAGGGAAATAAAATGTGTTGCATGGCTTAGAGGAGGACTTGGTGTGTGACTTGCCTGTTGTCCTGCAGGATGCTCTTCCTAGTACTGTTTGCCAAGTGAAATAATGTGGATTTGTGTGTGATTATGGATAGATATTTGTATCTCTATCTATATCTAAAATGCTGAAATATTCTGTTTCAAAGACTCAAAATAATTATTCATGACTTTTTTTTTACAGAACAAACACAAGGCTCTGTTTAAACAGGGCCCTTGTGGAAAATCCTTAAAATGGTGACACGCACACTACCTCTGTTCTTGCTGGCTTTTTGTCCTGGTTTATTTTTTGGGGCTTTTATCCAAAATTCTTGCTGTTGTTTGAAGGAATTCCTGTAGCTGTAAAGGCCTGGAGGAGTGTGGACACAGAGGCTTCCCCGGGCCTTGCTGGGAGGTGACAGTGCTGGGCTGTGTCCGTGGGGACCCGGTGTCACCCTGGCTGCTGCTGTCACAGCTGTTGTGTTCTTGGGGTGCTTTGCTGTCGTTGTGGTTGGTGTTGTCCCAGTGCTGACAGAGCCTGGCCAGTGCTTGCCTGTGGACCCTCGTGATGTGAAGCTGTGTTGGTGTCGTGGGTGCTCTGGGGACCCTCTGTCACCGCCTGTGGGTGACATGAGGTGGCCGAGGAGGGGTGGCTCTCCTGGGCCCCAGTAGGTGACAGAGTGTCTTTTGTGGTTGTGCTGTTGGTTTTGTAGGATGGTCCCTGTGCTCAGGGAGCTGCTGGAGGAGTCCTGGGTGTTGTTTGTGGTGCCACAGCCAGGCTGGGCCTGAGAGCCCTGCTGGGGGAGCAGTGGGACAGAAACACGGACACGCTCTGAGAGAGGGGGGTTGGAGGAAGGATGGGCAGCCAGGGGCTGGCTGTGCTCTCAGTCCAGGGGCTGGCTGTGCTCTCAGTCCGGTGTTGCCCCCTCCTGCCAGGGCTGCTGCTTGGATTCCAAAGGGAATTCACATTTTCTGTGAGTAATTTTGGCAACCAGCCTGGTTGGGAGCTGCTCCACGTGAGCCTTTGCTGAGTCCAGGGAGAAGATCCTGGGAAGTGAGCAGGGGATGTGCTCCAAACCTCTGATCCCATCTGAGGCCTTGTGCCTTTGGGTGATGTTTTGAAGTAGATTTAGGGGATCAGAGGTGGATTTGCTCACCCTGGCTGTGAGTGGGAGTATTCCCACATTTTAAAATCTCCATGGAAAGGCTTTCTTGCAACTCCCCTCTGAGGTGGGGCAGAGCCAGGCTACAGCCACTGCTCTGAACTGTATTGATTGAAAATCCAGTGTCTTGAGGAAGGGAGCTGTGCATTTGCCTGCCCTATAGGCCTGGAGTTCCCTTTTTCCCCTTAAGCATAAAATCCTGCATGTTTCATTTGTGTGAGGAATTATAGGGACAGGCAATCAGTGAATAATTGTCCCTCCTGAAAGAGTCTGAATTTGATTTGCACTTGCTCCACCTGGGAGTGCTGGTGTGGAGCAAAAGCTGCTTTGGGAGGGAAGTTTGGGAGGAGCCTCTGCTTGTTTGGGCTGAGGCAGCGCTGGGTCGTGCTCAGGGCAGGATGAAACCCCACAAGCCAGGGCTGGATCCATTCCCTGTGTTTGGATCATCTTTATCCTCCTGTGCACCCAGATTCAGATTTGGGAAGGGGCAGACGGGAGGCCTGGGGCTGTTGGTGCCGCAGGGTCGGAGCAGCACCTGGGGAAGCTCCCTGTCCCTTCCCCGGGACAATTCCACCGTCACCCTCGGCTCGCCGGGGCTGCCCACAGGTCATTGTTCTGTGTGTGCTGCCGACCCTTCCCATCCCTGCCTGGCTGAGGGAGGAGGTGCTGGGAACGGTTTTGAAATGAGTTTGGGAAATTCCGTGTACCGATAGAAGCGAACATCTGATTTCCTTCCTGTTTCTCGAGTGCCTGCCGAGCTCTGCCGCGTCCATNCTCAGACCCCTGCGAACACCAGCACAGGGGATGAGTCTCTTTCAGCCTCTGTGGAATCAAAGGCTGTGGCATCCTCACCAGTGGGAGTTTGCTGCCTGCTCCCTGCAAAATGCTCTTGCAGACACATTTGCAAAACTGGAACTCATTCTCTCCCCCAGACTCCAGTGTGTTGATGGAATGATGCAATGGAGCTGCTTTTGTAGTAGCTTTGTTGCCAAATAACGTCAAAAAACAATACTGCAGAAGTGGCTCCAAAAGCAACAAACAACTGTGTCAGCAACGAGCTGTTCCTTTTGTCTGACTGATAAGAGCACACAGTATTTGGAAAAGCAAGTGAAATATTTTGTTATTGCAGCCTCTCTCAGATTATTCCAGTTCTGGTGAGTAAACCAAGGCAGAAAAGCTCTTGGCTCAGGGAGAAGGGGCTGCTTTGGCAGGGCTGGAGGCAGAGGCTGGAGCTGCCAGGTGTTGTGTGTGCTCTCCCAGGATTTAACAAGCTGCCCTGTCCTTGTGGTGCAGCCTCTGTGAGTTTTGCTTCATTCTGTGGTGGTTTCCCCTGGAAGGTGGGAAAGGGAAGCTCTGCACAGCAGAGGGATCTGTAGGGAAGCCCCCAGTTGTGCCTTCCTTGTCAGATTGTTGTCATTGGCTTTGATGCTGCTCTGAAATCCCCATGTGGCTTTCCCTTGGTGTGCCACAGCAGGGCAGGTTTGCCATGTCACCTCCACCCTGAAACAACCTTGCATTAATTGGCTCCTGGTGATTATTGATGTGAGGCAAGAGGAAGGATGGATTTCTGTTGCTGTCTGCATCCCAATTTCCTTTAAAACCTGAATATCTCAGTAGCTTAATTATTTATGGCTGGAAGTTCCTGGCCTTCATTATAGCAGGGTTTTCTTGCCAGATTGCCTGTCTGAACTGAAAGTGTTCTTTTGGGTCAGATAAACCCCTAAAATCCATTTTCATCTGTTCCACCTGTTAGAGTGATCCCATGGAGCAATCACCACGAGTTATCACCTTGTCAGACCTTCAGACTCCAGCTTCCAGTTTTATTTAATGGCCTGAAATATTACAAGAGATTACTAGAGCAAGGCTTGAGGATTTTAAAAATTAAAGAGTATTAATAATTTAGGCTATTGGCATGACCACATTGTGGCCTATATTTAACTTCCTGTCTCACCACCTCTCTTCCAGTAAAAGCTGCACTATAGGAATGGTTCTTCGCCTGTGGAGTGATACTAAAATCCATCTGGATGGGGATGGGTAAGAAACCACATGGAAAGGATAAATGTGAATGTCCTTCCCTAGCTGGGGGCTGCTCTAGCAGAGATTCTCCATCACCTTGCAAATGAAGTGCCCATTTTGGATTCATGGCTGCAGAGTCCTGTTATTCAGACAGTGAGTTCTTGTCTTGCTGCCCTCACACTGCTCCTGTGGTTCCAGGGAATGCTCTGAAACCCCACTGAGGACTGGAGCTGCCATTCCTGGCAGCCTCTTGCCATTCATACTTGGGAGGTTGGAAAATCAGTGAGAGAAATTCTCATCCTGATTCTTTTGGCTTTTGGGTGCCCCAGTGCAGTGGCAGTTTGTAGAGAGCAGGTTGGGGTGCAGAGAAAAGCAGTTTTTAACTCGATTTTCCCTCTCTCCATCAGTGGCTTCAGCGTGAGCACTGCAGGGAGGATGCACATCTTCAAACCTGTGTCAGTGCAAGCCATGTGGTACGTGAGGGGCTGGGCTCAGGGAGGCACTCTCACTCTTCTTTCTGTCAGTAAACTTTAAAAAATCAGCTGCATTTTATCTTTCTCCACAATGGGTATTCAGTGAGCTGCAGCAGAGATCTGCTTCCCTGTGTCAGCAGAGGGGCTGTGGGAATCCTGATCCCAAAGCAGGATCTGTGTCCTTCAGCATGGGGGATGAATAAATTTGAAAGATGAGCTCGAATTCCAAGAATTTCCTCTCTCTGCATGTTTCTCTCACAGGCTGGCAGAGGAGGCTCAGGGCCCACTGCCAGCCTGTGGCATTCCCAGTGTCCTGCCCCATTCCTGGGGTTCCTGGTGCCCCAGGTGCCCATTCTCCTTCCAGCTCCTGCCACCCCTCCCCTGTGCAGAAATTCCAAACCTCTGAGCCAGCAAATTCCTCCCTGAAGAGGCTGCTCCACATGGAACTGCATCTCCCTCTGCCTGGGCAATGCTGTGTCCCCTTGGAGCCTGGAGAGATCCCAGTCCCTGCAGCATCTCCTAGGGAGGAGATCCAGCTGTGGAGAAGGATTTGTGCTGGGGATGGTTTGGTACAAAAACAAACAAATCTGTTCCTGTCACTTCTGAATTTGGCCCCTCCTGTTGCCAGCCTTGGATGTGGTTGATGTGTTCAGTGCAACAGCTTTGGAGTACAGCCTTAAAGAAAGGAAAAATTGAGGAGGGAAGGAAGGAAAAAGTAATGTTAGGATCTGCAAAAACAAATGACCCAATCTGGGCCTTGTCCCTGGAGCCTGTCAGGGGCCAGGAATGCTGGTAAATCTGCATCAGGCTCCTTGCTGGAGGTGGCTGGAAAATTGTCCCTGTTCTTTATCTTCCTTTGGCTGTACAAGTTGGTTCATGATTAGATCCCACAGCGACTTGTGCCTCCTCCTTCCCTATTAATTAGGAGAAGATTTCAGCCCCTGCCTCAGCCCTGCTGTGAGAAGCCCCCAAGGTGCAGTTTGTGCCTCTTTGAGCTCTGACACCATAAATTTCCTCCTTTCAAAGAGCAAACTGCAACAACTAACACTGAAAACCACTTTTCCTCTGTGAAACTCTCTCAGCCCCTGCTTTGTCTGCTCACAGCCGCCCAAATCTCTTCTCCCACCCTGCAGGTCTGCTTTACAGATCCTCCACAAAGCCTGTGAGGTTGCCAGGAGGTACAACTACTTCCCAGGGGGGGTGGCCTTGGTGTGGGCCACCTACTACGAGAGCTGCATCAGCTCGGACCAGAGCTGCATCAACGAGTGGAACGCCATGCAGGACCTGGAGTCCACCCGCCCCGACTCCCCTGCCCTCTTTGTGGACAAGTCAGTGCAGCATTTTATTTGCAAGAGTTTGCTTGGCTTATGGAGGAAATCTTCCCTTCTTCCTGGCTTAGTTCTTTTTTTTTTTTTTTTCTGGGGTTGCAAAAGAGAATTTGTGTGAGATAATCAGACCGTAAACTTTAGCTTGTGGATAGTATAATGTATAAACACCAACAAACTGCTTTTTTTTTTAATTTTTGTCATTATTCCCATAAAGATTCCCTTTAAGCCAAGCCTTTCCCCTCACCCCTCGGTGCTGTGCAGGTGCTGCCAGCCTGGATTCATCCTCTCCTCCTCCTGTTCCTCCCCAGGCCGACGGAAAGGGAACGAACAGAGCGGCTCATCAAAGCCAAGCTCCGGAGCATCATGACCAGCAAGGACCTGGAAAATGTCACTTCCAAGGAGGTAAATATCAAAAATTCTCACTCTTCTTCTTCCTGCCAGACTCCCTCTCTAGAGAGTGGTGAGCAGGCACCACATGCCTGGGTGTCCCTGGCTTTGGAGTGTGCATTTCAGCCGTTCTGTGAAGGCTCTGCTCTGGCTCTGCTGCACCTCCCTCCTGAGAAATCAGGATAATCCCAGCATCACAGGTGTCTGTCAGGACCTCAGTAGCAGCTGGGTGACTTTCAAATTAGATTTGAGGGTTTTATTTCCTTTCTTTTTTCCTGGACAAATGTCAGAGGACCTTGCAGACAGCATTTTGCTGCTGAGTTTATGGATGGAAAATCACAAATCAAGGCTAGAGCTCATTTGGATCCATCCCCCAGGCTGGTGTAATCCATCCACCCACAGTGCAGACGTGATCAGAGTGGGAATGGTTCTTTTTGGGGTGGTTTTTGGTTTTTAAGGGAGATTATTAACATGCAAGTGGTAGGAGGAAGCTGAGAACGTGTCTGTCTGTGGATGTGTTCACTCCTCCTGCAGACAAGCTCTTGTTCTTTATCTCTCAAATTACTATTTTTAAGGAGCAGGTACCCCAAAATACTTTTTTCCCTCAGATGTTATCTGAAGCTTTATTTACAGCTCCTTCGTTTGGGGATTTAGGACACCAGGATGCCAGGGCAAGGGACAGTGGTTTTAAATTGCCAGAGGGGAGGGATAGATGGGATGTTGGGAAGGAATCCTGCCTGGTGAGGGGCTGGGATGGAATTCCCAGAGAAGCTGGAATCCCTGGAAGTGTCCAAGGCCAGGTTGGAGCAACCTGGGATAGTGGAAGGTGTGGAATGAGATGAGCTTTAAGCTCCCTTCCCACACAAACCATTCTGGGATAATTGGAGAGATGCCACATACTGAAATTCCTGGTCTCCAGAAGGCTGAGTCCCTGTTGCTGTTTTTAATGAAAAAGTGAGAAGTGTTCTGCAGGGAAGTGCCCACAAATGTTTCTGTTGGACACCAAGATTCCAGTGCCATCCTTGGTGTTTGCTCTGCAGATCCGAAATGAGCTGGAGAAACACATGAACTGCAACTTGAAGGAATTCAAGGAATTTATAGACAATGAAATGCTGCTGATCCTGGGCCAGATGGACAAACCATCCCTGATTTTTGATCATTTGTACCTGGTGAGTGGCAGGAGCGGCAGGAGAGCTCTGCTGTGCTGTGTCCAATCCTTTGCCACTAGATGGAACTCCAGGCAAAACCAGGCTCTGCCTCTGGAACAAAGACTTCCCAGAGATGAGCACTTTGTGCCCATTGGGTCTTTTTGTTGTTGTTCTGGATTGAGTCAGAGGAATTGCTCGTGTTTCAGGGCAAAATCTGCTTTTTAACAGTTTAAAGCTTCCTCTTGTGAAGGTCTAGGGAGAATCCAAGGTGTAACTACCCCCAAAATTTCAGGATTTGCCTGACTTCTCATGTGTGGCATGTCTGGGATCACAGATGCATTCACTTTGTTTCCCTGAACTGTTTCTCCTTGTGTTTAAAACTGCAGAGTGGGCAGGGGCAGGGATTTGGGATGAGCTCGGTCTCCCCCTGGCCTAGAACAAACTGTGGGTGAGTTGTGCCCTGGTCCCTCCTTCAGGACAGGCCATCAATGCCCCGCTCCTGTCTCAGAGGCTGTTCCCAACATTCCAGTCAGCTCAGGGGGATGGCTGGGGCTGGGGGATTGCAGAACCTGAGGGGAAGGGGCTGTTTTGGGCTCCCTTGGGAATGTGAGTGTGTGGCTGTTGCAGGGCTCCGAGTGGAACGCGTCCAACCTGGAGGAGCTGCAGGGCTCGGGGTGAGTACTGCTCCTCCCATCCAAACCCTCCACTCTGTGCCTGCCACTCCCCCAGGAGCCTGGAGAGGACATTTGCAGGCTCTAGGGATGATTTTACCCCTCAGCTATGTGGTAACTTCCCAGCAGCAGCTGTGTGGAGAAATCTCTCCAACCTCAGAGTGTGAAAATAACAAAACTTGGCATTGCTGAGGTGCATCAGGATCTCCATCCCCCAGTGCTGTGCCAGGTGGGAATTCTGCAGAGCTGCCTGTGGATGAGCAAACTCCTCCTCACCTGCCTGCTCAGGCAGCTCCAGGTGTCTCTCCCATCCCCATGGTGCTGCTTGGCCCCATTCCCTGCCACACTTTATGGATCAGGGAGAATTCTGCCCATAAATATTTGCTGCTCACTCAAGGCCTGCACCAACCTTGCTGTCAGGAACTGAAATTCTTCAGAATTTCAGCACAGCTGAAAATGTTTCATTTGGAGTCCTTGGGAGCAGATGTCTGCACATCTTGGGACAAGGAAATCAAGCAGGGTGTTAATGATTATGTCTTGCATTGGGATGTGCAGTGTCCAAAGGCAAAGCTGGACAAATTCTGAGACAAATATCCTGTGTCCTTGATTTTTCTCAGTGATAGGAGGTGATAAATCAATCTGGACATTCGTTCTCGGGTACATTGTTATCCCTGCTGTGATATTTGGCAGGAATCAAGAGATACCATGTGACTCTCATGGTTTTGGTCAGAAAGAAGGGGAGGGGATGGGATTGCAGCTAAAACCTGCAGCTGGAGATGGTGATTCCTGGGCTGTGTTCCCAGATTGTTCACTTCTTTCTGCATCCCCAGAGCTGTGTGGCACAGTGAGGAGTTCCTGCTTGGGTTATACAGACTCAAAGACAATAAATGAGATAAAACAAATATCTCCCTCCTGTGCCCAGGGTGTTTGGACACTTGGGATGTGCTGGCAGTGAGAGGTGGCAGAACAGCCCCTGTGTGCTCTGTGTACCAGGAGTTTAGGATTAGGGCTTAGGCAAACCTTACAGCTGATGTTGGGTTGGATTGCATGGATTCANGTCCCGGCCGTGTCACCGAGCGCTGGGGACAGTCCCGGGCAGTCCCTGAGGAGGGGTGAGTGATGTTTAGCTGTTCTGTGCATTGCTGTACTCCATAACAACGTTCCTTTATTCCATGGTATTTCTTATCCCAATTTTTTATGGAAATCTGCAGGATTTTTGTACTGTATGCCCGCGGGAGGGATGCATCATGCACTTTTTTTTTTTTTTTTTTACTTTTGTTTGTAAAAATTGTCCTGGATATTTTATGTTCATCTTGTGAGGAAAAATAAATAAACTTTTTTTTTTTCCTTTTACAAATGAGTTTTGGAGCTTTGTTTAGAGGTGGGGAAGGAACAGACGGTGAAGGGGGGGAAAGAAAAGAAAAGAAAAGGAGGGAATGGGAGAGATCCCAGATGTCTGCCCTGTGTTATCATTGCCCATCTATCCTGGCTCTGCTTCCCTCATTTTTGGGTCCTGGCTGTTTTCTGGTGCTCCTGAAGGCTGGATCCAGAGGAGCAGGATGGAAATCAGTCATTCTCACCTGGTTTCTTCAGAGACCCCAGCCTGAGTTCAGGATCAGCCTCTCACCTTCTGGAAAGGATGCCAGCAGTGGAGCAGTGGCACGTGGAAAAGTGACACCTGCACCTTGCTGAGCCTGGAAAATCCCAGCTGGGAGAGGCCACAGCCAGGTGAGCTGTGGGATTGCACAGGCCTGTGCTGCTCTCCTCAGCAGAGCCAATGCCAGCTGTGCCAGCCCAGGAGCTCACACAGGGACTGGCATGGACAGCAGCTCCCTGGCTGGGAAATCACCTGCAAACGATCCAGGGCACTGCCCTGGGCTGCTGGGGGTGGGTTTGGATCATTTGGGTCTCCTTCACCTGAGGATATCCCCAGGGAGGGATGGATCTGCAGGTGTGGGACCAGCTCTGGGCAGGTGAAGAGCAGCTTCCTGCTGTTGTTTGAGGTCCTGGGGCACAGCCTGGCCCTCAGCCAGCACCGTTTTGGGGGCAGTGTTTGCCCCCAGGGTCACACAGCCCTTGGCTGGGTCAGCAGAGGCATCAGTCCCTGCTCAGCTCAGCTTCCTGAAGATGGAGCCTCCCCTCAGAGCCGTTCCTGGCTCCAGAGGTGGGTGTGAGTTGGATATGGGGAACCACGAGCTGGGGCTGTGGAATGGCTGGAGCGTGCCCAGGCTGCCGGTGAGTCCCTGGCTGTTGTTTTGTTCTTGTTAGGATTGGAAATTGGTTCTTTTCAGAGCGGTTCCTCACGGCTGAATGTTACATCCTGTTGTGATGTTGCCATGGCAAAACCAGGCAACAACATCTGGAGCAACACAAATTCTCTCCAGCGACCAGGGAGGGTTTATTTATAGCCTGGCTGACCAGAGGAGATGCCTGAGCCTGGAGCTGCCGTGGGCAGGGGCAGCTGGCACTGGGTGCCCTCCTGGCTGGGAAGGTGCAGGGCCCAGCTGTGCCCCTCGTCTCTCCCCCATGGAGGCGCTGCAGGTGCTCCAAAGCTGCTCTCCTCAAGGACCCTCTGATGGGAGGATGATTCCCTGGCAACATTTCCCAGTTCCATGTGGAGTTGGGGTGGTGAGCAGGTACTGTAATGGTGGCTTTGAGTAAAAATGAGGTTTAGCAGGTGGGTGAGGCTGATTGCAGCACACAGAGAAACTGCAGGAAGGACTCTGGGGGCTGTGGCTGCGTTTCCACACTGGCAGAGGAGAAGCTGCTCTCTGGCAGTGGCTCTCCAGCTGCCTGCAGCCCCAGGATGATCCCTCTGTGTCTGTTCCTGCTGGGCTGTGGCTGAACAGCCGCTCTGGCCCCTGGAAAGGTGGAAATGTAAATATTTTTCTAAGCAGAAGCTGCGAGTCGGTGCTGCCAAGGCCAGAGGAGCCGGTTCCTGCAGCGGGCACAGGCCGAGCTGTGCTGCCAGTCAGGTTTGCTCCCGCCTCGGTGTGTATTCCCTAAAAGTCTCTTCCTCCCTCTGTTTGAAGGACAGGACAGCAGCAATGCTGCAGCAGCTGCCTTTTCCTTTTATGCAGAGGGTTCAGAGCAGAACCGCGTTGGTGCCGTGTCAGAGTTCTGAGCAGCTCCCTGGAACATGGGACACAGCACCCAGGGCAGGTCCCAGGACACGGCTGTGCCCCCTCCTCACCAACCCTGGGCTCTGCAGTCCCCACACAGGACAAGCCCAAACCACCACGATATCCCCAAATTGTGAAGGTTTGTGAGAAGCATAGAAGAAATTTGGTTTTGTCACGAGGGCTTGAGGGGAACACTCAGAATTACTGATGGGGACATAGTGAAAATGTGAATGAGTTCATGCCATGGGAGAGGTGACTTGGCTGTGAATGTCCTCACTCCTGCACCTGCCAGCACACCTTGCTCAGCATTTCTGTACCTGTCAGCATGCTGCTGCTGCCAGGTGCTCCTGTTGCTGTTGGCAGGAGCAGCAGGAGCCCGGCCACCAGCCCTGATCCCGCTGGGAGCTGGTTGTGTTTGCTCTGGGCAGCCTTGGTGGGGATTTAAGACTTCCAGTGGAAACAAACGGGGTTTTGTCTGTGCAGAGCAGCTCTGCAATGTGCACTGATAGAGAACAGCCCCAGCGAGGGGCCTGGCTGGCTCCAGGCTGATAAGGGCTGGGATAACCCTCATCCCTCGCTCCTTCCCCTTGGCAGTGGCCGGGATTCACTCCTGGCACGGGACACAGGATGAGGCAGTGGCATCGTGACCATGGTCCTGGTGTCACCCACGCAGCTGCTGTGTGTCTGTGGTGCTCAGAGGCTGGTGGGTCCTTGAGGTCTCTGGATGAGGCCCTGCAGGATTTTCCTCATGGAATATCAGGGGATGCCTTTGGGCTGGGGCCAGGCTCTGTTTGCCAGCCCTTTAGGTGGCACTGGGGTAACTCAGCCCCAACAAAGCAGAGGTGCCTGTGCAGGCACCCCTTTTGGGATGATCTAGGTGTTTTCCTGCATCCTGCCCCGGGATGCTTCCAGCTTGGGGAACCATAAAAGGCAAAGCCCAGGGCAGCGGCTGGGCTGGGAGCTGCGGCTCCCTGCAATGCCAGGCATCCCAGCTGTGTACAAATGGATTAGAGCCCTCCAGCTCCCCGGCTCCGCCGCCATCCCGAGGGGTGTCCAAAGGGAGCAACGTTCTGCTCAGAGGGTTGTTTAGAGAAGTACCCAATGCATTAAGAGGGATTTTTGATAAGTTGTGTTTTGGAGTTTCAGCAGGGAAAGTTGTGTCTCAGGCTGCTGTGGGGCTCCCGTGTTTATCTCGGGCAGCCAGTCTCTGTCACAGCAATTCCCTTTTCCATAACGAATTCCCGCAGACCATTCCAGCTCTCTGGCTCTGCCCTGTGCGCTCTGTGCAGGCAGCATCTCTCCCTCCAGCTCTGGGACGCAGCCCAAGGCTGAGTGCTGCTTCCAAGGAAGGAGCTGGGGGAGCTGCTCCACGTCCCACGGGCGCGGGGCAGGGAGGAGGGAGCAGTGCCAGGGGAGCGGATGCGGGTTCCCATCTCTCTTTGGAGCCCACAAGGAGCTGGCAGAGGGGATTCTGCCCAGACAGCCTGGCAGGAAATCCCTCTGGAAGCTGCAGAATTGGAGGCAAGCCGGGATTGCTGCACAGGACTGTGGGGAGCTGTTGCTGGAGTAGGTTGGGGAAAGAGGAGAATCCCTGGAGAAGGATGCAGATGGGAAGCAAGTCCTGACTGTGAACTGCCATGGACCAGCAAATAAGCAGCTGGAGGGGATTTTTCCAGTTATCCAGGTGGGATGTGTTTGGGTAGGGACCAGCATGGCATCGGCCGTGCTGGGTGTGGTGTCAGGAGTGGCAGAGCCCGGGCTCCATCGTGCCAATGGGATGTTCCTCTGTGCTGGCCATGAGGCCAAGGAACGCCGGTTCACATGACCCAGGCTCCGACGCTTCCAAGTGCCGCCGTCTCCCAGAGCAGAGCGAGGAGGAGGCGGTGCTGAAATCCCGCCGAGACCCAAGGTGGGAAAAATCTTGGCTGGCCAGTCCCAAAGCATTTGGAACCAGGAATTATAGTGACAGATCTCCCGGCCATGGAAGCCTCCACCTGGCAGTACCGTGGATATTTACGGGATGACACAAGTAAGGCGAGGGGGAGAGACTGCCCAGCTGCCCGGGGAGACTCTGCAGGCACCTGTGAGGATTATCCGCTGCTGCAGCTCAGCCAGGAGGGCCTGGGACACAGCCGGGAGCGGGGGGACCGCCCCGACCTCCGCAGCGACACCGCAGGCCCTGCCAAGAGGTCAGAGATGAGCAGCAGCGGGCAGAGAGGGCAGTGGGGGCCGGCAGGGGAGCTGTGCCTGGAAGAGCATCCCGTGCCCAAAGGGTGCAGGAAAGGACGGGAGGGAGAAGCCCCTCCAAAGGTGTACGAGCTGGAGGTGGTGCCCAGGCGGGTGGGCACGGGCAGGACGGTGAGGCCGGTGGTCTACAGGCTGGAGGAGAGCGAGTACCGGCGCCTCATCCAGGAGGCAGAAACAGAAACTGAGGAGGAATGGGAAGAGGCAGAGGACACGCTGCCCTTGATTCAGGAGGGCTACCCAGGGGATGGCAAGGTGGCCAGCCCGAGCCTCAGCAGGCTCAACTCCTTGGAAAGAGTCCTGAGGAGGCAGATGAGCCGCTCGGACTCGGAAAGCAGCGTGGAGGGCAGGCAAGTGACCAGACTGAGCCCCAAGGGCCCCGCGGAGGGGAACAAGCCCACCGTGCCCGTCAGGTCCGACAGCCTGGAGCTCATGGATTACATCCTGCAAAGCAAGCAGGACGCAGGCACACCTGTCCCCTACATCCCCAGGGACAGCAGCAGGGACAGCCTGAGGCCGGCACGGAGCTTTGCCCCCCACCCCGATGGAACACTCGAGCTGTGCCAGAACGGCCAGGCCAGCGAGGAGGACCCGGCCAGGAAGGCCGAGCCGGAGCAGCAGGGAGTGAAGAGCCTCGAGAGAATGGGCCCTGCGGTCACCAATTATCATCCCTCGGTGGCCAGA